ATTAAACATTGAGGTGTTCACATGTTTGAACTATCCAGATGTCCACAGCACTACCAAGAAATGATTGTTATCCATTACCATTCTACCTACTGCACTGGCCATTTGATACAATGCCCAGAATGCTGAAGCCTGGATTTGAGTCTTAGCTCTGACCTTTCTAGTCTGCACTTCCACTGACATCTTGAAACTGAAAAAAACTGAAATATCAGTGAACAAATATCGGTTGAATACCTACCATGTGCCAGGCACTGTTCCAGGCATTGGAAGTGTTTCAGGCAATGGGTTACTTTACTCAGCAACTTGATGTTGTGGGTTTATTGCTACTAGTTTAAATTTTGTATATAAGCTTCTTTCCTGAAGCAGTCTTTAACTGTTCATTTGTAAGACTTGATAAGTTCTTAGATTTATGTACTTATAGACTTACTCTTGTGTTGTCATATTCTCCCCCTTCCCCACCCAGAAGGGTGATTAGGTTTCCTCTGAGTAGATTTTAAAATCTTATCCTGCTTTTTGTTCTCATTTTATAGCCCGAAGCCACTTTCATACTCTACCATGAGTTACAAACGCAAGCATTTTCTGGGTAGACAGGTATCCTAAGTGTATGAAGCAGGCAGGTGTGAGGAAGGAAGGATGAACAGGGTCTGTTCAAACTGAAAGCTCGTGCCCACCTATAGACATTAAAGAATTGTTTTTTAAACCTGTGTCAAACACATCTAAAGGCCAAAAGTTTCCAACATTCTGAACATCTAGACAAACTGTTTAGACCTTTGATTTTTGAAGTATGAAAGTGCAATATCAGTTTATTGATGACAGTGATGCGTGTCAGTTTTAAAATAGGAAATGCTAAGAACTTTGCCACATGAACCCAGTTACATTTACAGATTGGTGTGTGTGTATGTTGTATATTATTGTTTTGCTTTTGTTTTGTACTTGTGAGAGAAACTTAACAGGGAGACTGAGAATTCCATAGATGACTCTTTAAGCCAAACTTCTAGATTAGAAGGTCTTAACTTAGGTTCAGTGAGTAGTCTTCAGAAGACCCATAAATGTCTTATAACTTCATTTTAAAATGTTGTATTTATTTATTCCTATGCTTAGTTTAAAAAAAAAATTAATAGACTTGATTTTTTAGAGCAGTTTGAGTTTCACAGCAAAATTGGGAGGGAAGGTACAGAGATTTCCCACGTACCCTGTCCCCACCAGAGTGGTACATTTGTTACCATTGTTATGCCCAGCTTTTTATTTTTATATTCTCAAGGGGAACATCTGCTTAAGAAAATCTTCATTTAAATTGCTTCGAAATTCCTTCTTGACATAGTACTTGATAGCTTTAACAATGTTTTATATTAATAGTTTATTAGGAATATTCTGAAATGATTAAGGAGTACTCTTTGAAATAGTCTTATATTATTCTATTTTAAAAGTAATACTGTGTAAAAGAAAATACAGAAATATACAAAGAAGAAAGTAAAGACCAGCTTTAATGCAGGAATAACTGCTATTAATATTTGATACATATCCTTCTAGAATTTGGTTTATAATATATATGTATGAGATATATGCACCCATGCTATTGAGAAATAAACATCTCTGTTTTGCATTTTAGGTTTTTAGCTGTCAGAAGCACTTTTACTTAATTCAAAGTTGTAAATTTACAAGCTGCTCTACCAGTGAGGCAAGAGACCAAGTTCTTATAATAAAACATTTTGGCAGCAAGAGAGTCCTGATTTCTTTACATGGAATGACAAGGAAAACAAAAAAGAAGTTGTCATTTAAGATAGAAAATACAGTATAGTTAGATTTACTCTTACTTTACACCTTTCATTAACCTTATCAGTAAACAGGTTATCTGTTTAGCAATCCACGAATATTCTATATTTTCTAGCCTCACATAGCACAGTGAAGGGATTTATAACATAATAGCTAAATAAACAAAATGTTTCTAGATCCAAGTAATTTAGTTCATAGTTTCTATTTTATCAAAAGCTTCTTTCCTTTCTAAAGGGAGCCTCACGTTTTTTGTTTTATAGTTTTCTTTCTTAATGTGTTAGCCCAGGCCATCATAACAAAATACTGTAGACTGGGTGGCTTAAATAACAGAAATGTATTCCTCACAGTTCTGTAGGCTGGAAGTCCAAGATGAGGGTGCCAGCATGGTTGAGTTCTGGTGAAGGTGCTCTTCCTGGCTGTCTTCTTGCTGTGTCCTCACATGGAAGGGAGAGAAAGAGAACACTCACGCTCTTCCTCTCTCTGTTATTAGGCCATGGTCCTGTGGATTAGAGCCCCACTCATGGCCTCACTTAACCTTAATTACCTCCTAAAGACCCTGTCTCCAGATACAATCACTCTGGGTGTTAGGGCTTTAACATAGGGATGGGGGGGTGGGGTGGGGACACAGATCAGACTGTTGAGCAACTAGGTGTGTGTGCTTTTGTTTCCAAAATACTGTTTTATAGCCAGCTTTCTCTCAATTTATCATGGCATCTTTCCATGTCAAATCATATAGATCTCATGTTATTTAACAGCTGTATGGATTCCTGTAGTAAGAGTGTACTATCATTTATTTTTCCATTGCTGTATTGATGAACATCAGGGAAAATCAAAAATTCTTTGGTGTCACCTTTACGGATTCTAAAGACTAAATCTTTCTTCTGTTACTTTTAAATATTATAACTTGAATAAAAGCATAATGGAAATTAGTTTTAAACTTAAAAGATGATTCCAAAAATAGTATGTGCACATCATTCCCATAACTCTTAGGAGGCTTGAATTTAATGATATTTTTTTCTGGTTAAACTAACACATGTGGCTGAACCATTATGAAGGACATCATTTCTTGGGCATTGGTTACTGAAGGGCCTTATGCAGTAGTTTGAAGCCATTAAAAGATTCCATATAAGTTTAGAGCATGAAATTTATTAATATTCATACATAAAGAGATAGCCATGTATATTAACATATGAGAACTAAACTTCACATTGTGCTGCATAGATGTTAGGTTTCTTGCTTAAAGAGTCGCTGATTACTTATTTGTTATAGGAAACAAAGTGGTGCTTTTTCACAGTTGAATCATTGTTACAAACTACTGTTTGAACTTGTTCAAAAGAAACTCACAAAGTTTCTGGATTATATTACTTTTTACAGTAGTGTGATCTCATCAGATCTATTCCTGTATTAAGTTCTTCAGTCTAATTTCATTCAAATTAGAAAAGGCAGCAAGAAATTCTTACTGGATATATTGAAAGAGCATTTTACCCAGAATATGGATTTTTTTTTCTTTTATCTTTCTAAAAACTTTTTATTGAGATGGAATCAAATTCCACTCCACCTAATATGAAATCCAGTTGCATTTCATTGAATGCAGAATTGTTTGTGTGTGTGCATTTTTCTAGAGGAGATGTTTTACTACTTTCAACACATTTTCAAAGTGGTGAGGCACTGGGAGTGGCATTGGTCATGGTGGTGGTGAAAATACTAAATTTATTCATTATAAATTCTGGTGTCTTAAAGGTTTTCTGGTATTTTTAATAAGAAAAAAATTGATAAGAAGAGAGCTGGGGTAACCTGGGACCTGGCACAATTCAAACTGGTACAATGACATTCTTTCTTCTTCTAGCTAAGCTAGTCCCAGGGCTCAGCTCTGCACCACATCCAACTTTAGTAAGATCTTCTTTACTTTCTTAACAGAGGTCTGGAGCTATAGAAAACCATGTTTGTATTTCTGTGACTTATGGGGAAATTGGTAGATATGGTGGTTTTTAAAACTAACATGAAGTTAATTATGGCAGCTAAAAATTAAAAAGTGAGCATTTTGGAGAATATGTTAAGGATGGTATAAGCAAATATACAGTGACTTGGAAATGTGAATCCAGTGGATCTCAAACATTTTAATTCTATTATCCCCCTTAGAGTTTTCACTGATGGTGAATTTATTTCCTTTGAGACATATGCTCCACCCCACATCCCCAAGAAAATAAATTATTGTGCAGTTGGGATTAAAGTAGCAACTATTATTGATTCCTCCATTAACCATGATAAAATTCTTTAAAATTATAGTTTCTGGTTAATTTTTTGGTTTGAATAATTTTTGTATGATAAAAAGTTGTATATAATTTGTTTTCTCTTTTTTTTAAGAAGTAGAGTATCAGTTTTTTTGTTTGTTTGTTTTTTCCTGTTTAATGAGATCTGCAGGGTTAACATTTGTATTGGTTTTTCAAGAGAAAATGTGTTTTCTTTAGTAATACTGATAACCTACTGTGTTAGTCCATTTCTGTTGCTTATAACAGAATATCTGAAACTGGATAATTTATGAAGAAATGAAATTTATTTCTTAAGGTTTTGGGGGCTGAAAAGTCCATGGTCCAAGGACATATCTGATGAGGGCCTTCTTCTGGGTGGGAACTTCCTACAGGGTCCTGAGGTGACAGAGGGTTTCACAAGAATGACATGAGCAAGAGCTCTCCTGTATGCTCCTCTATAAAGCTACCAGTCCGCACCCATCATTACTCATTACTCCGTGAATGGATTAACCCATTCATGAGGGCACAGTCCTCACGACCAATTACCTTTCAAAGGGCCCACCTTTCAAATGTCATAATCAGAATTCCCACTCTATTAACACTGTGTTAACAATGGAGATCAAGTTTCCAACACTTGAACTTTTGGGAGACACATTTGACCCATAGTACCTACAAAAGTTCAATTCTGAACATTGTTCGAGTAGTTAAATTTAAAATCATGATAAATTTTGTTTTTCCTTTGTTCATATATTATGGCAAGTATATCTGCCACACACACACACATATATCTTAAATAAGAGGAAATAAAATCAAACTAAATTCTTTCTTTTGTTAAAAGAAAGCTTTATAGAATTTAAGTAAATAAAAACCACAAAATGGCATTAGTAATAATTTAGAGTATGATTGAAGTGAAAAGCCTATGAGGTTTTTTTACTTTAAAAACATTAAGATTTATATTAAAAGGTCATTGTCTTCTTTCAGATCAATTTGCGTCTCATCTTGGTAAGCGGAAAAACAAAAGAGTTCCTGTTTTCTCCTAACGATTCTGCTTCTGACATTGCAAAGCATGTGTATGACAATTGGCCAATGGGTAAGTGGTGTTTTTCTCTTGAGGATGAATGATTTTTATGCCTTGCCTTGTTCACAAACATTTTGAAAAAGTTATAAATATCTAAAATATAAAAACAATTACTTGAGGATATAAGGATCAGGCTTAAAGGGGATTATTGTATGTATCCTTCCCTAGACTTTGCTCCTCAGCTATCTCCTTCCAAGGTGGTAAAGGAGCCCAGTACCGCAGTCCCAGTTTTTGTCTTAGAAAAAAAATTTTTTTTTTTTGTCTTTTTCCGTGTCCGGCAACGGATCACAACCCTCAGTGTCACCCCCGTACCGGACCAGGACCGGCAACGGGATTGCAACCCTTGGTGTTGCTCCCGCACCTCGCTCAGCCAGTGAGCGGGAACCGGTCTGTATGTGGGATCCGAACCCTCGGCGGGAGCACCACCACGCTCCCAAGCGGCGCACTATAGCAGTGCGCCACCGGGCCGGCCCCCAAAATTTTGTTTTAATGTAAGTGAAAAATATTTTTAAAAAAGAAAAACAAAATAGCTAATACACATATACTTTCATATCAATAAACATAATTATATCAGAACATAAAGTAAAAGGAAAGAAAAACTACTTTTAACAGATAATAATCCATTCTTTTTGGTCTATTTAAAATTAAATTTGAAACAAAGTTAACATGTAATTCATGTCACTTCATGTATTCCCTAAAGTCCTACAAGGTCAAGAAGGTGTAAAGTTGACTTATGCTTTGCATTTTCAAGGCAGCAGCCATAACAAACAATTTTGAAGAGTGTGTGTGGGTTTCCTTCCTTTCTCTGATTTTTTTCTATGTAATAAGACTCTGTCTTGACTTCCTTAAGTAATCTTTAGTTTATGTTCTTTCTTTGAACTTCCCCAGGTGTCATCTTGACCCTTTTTATGGTATGTCCCATAGTGATATGACTGTTTAGCTGATTGTACTTAATTTCACTAGTAGAAGCAATTTGAACGTTTAAAGGACAAGATTTATTTCAACAAAGAACACAATGTATACAAAATGAGAAAATTAGATCAGTGTTTATCAACCTTAAATAATATATGGAACCCTTTTAGAGGAAGAAAATTCTTGTAGAGTCCCTACTGTTGACTTAAAATGCACATTATAATAAAAATAATTTTAAATGTAGAAACATAAAATCCTGTTAAAACTCTTTATCCTTATTAACTCATATATATCTGTAAAACTATAACAGATCTATAAAGAAAATACAAATGTGCTCTAAAACCAGTAATGTTCAAATTAACAGCATTAATGTGCCAGGTAATGTCTTTTTGCTAAAGCCAGCTCACTACTTGTACCATGAATGCTGTTGAGTTTGGCATGCCTGTGTTTCTGCATGGTGTATGATGACCCTGTTATTTGCAGATCCACTGCAAAACCTTCATTCATTCAACTTTCTCTTAGAAAGAATGCATCATGCAATGATTAAGTCTACTTCTGTTCTTTTCTCATTAGCCTCTTGACAATTACAGAAGTATTGACTGCTTGGCGCTAGTACAATAATAAACTTCATTCATATGTGGGTACTAAAATCCCAAGGCTGTACTTGGTTATAAAGTGATTGTTTGAATCATCTAGATAATCTCTTCCAGATTATCATTAAAATGAAAACACAAATTAAAAATTCTTGAAGAGGACTTTCAGACCCTATGAACATGTTTTTGTGGATTCATAGGCCTGAGTTTAAGAAACACTGATTTAGACAAATACTTTGAACTACTGGCTCTTTCTTGCCATCGGTAACCAAGGAGCTAGTTGTTAAATCAGGGAGGGACTAAAGGTTATAGCTAAGAAGGACTTTTAGAAAAGCTAAAGTAGACTAAACTTGGGGCTCTAAGAATACTGGATATTCTTTATAGCCAGGTAGGATAGATAACAGTACAAAAAGCATTTTAGATACTGGTCTAAGAGTGATGTAGTGCTAAGTATGATACAAAAGATTATTTTTATGGGGTTTTCTTGGCAGGGGTGGTGTAAGAATAGCTTTTGATACTGGAGAAAAGATAACACAAGACAAAAAAGGGTGATCCCTTTCAAAAACTTATTTTATTTGGGCAATATTGTAATGAGGAAAAGAAATACTTTTACTTTTATAATTATTCGACTTAGATATTAAAATTAGTTTCAATTCCTTAAAATACCCAGATTAATAGTAAACAAAGGTAAGGATCAAATGCTGGTCTTTGCCATAAATAGTATCCCAAATGTACCTATAAGTTTTTGATTACCAGTCATTGCCAAGTCTACTCAGCAATTTTAGACACTGCAGGGAATAAAAAGAAATAGTTGTATTTTTATTTTATATAAAATATTATATTAAAAATCAAGATCTATATTGTGTCCTATAATATAAATAAATACTTATTGATACTAATAACAAAAGTGTAGTAAATATTAAATCAATAGAAGAAAATACTTTGTGCAGTGTACTTCTGGAATGAATTTGTTTTCCTTCACATAATGCAGTTTAGTGGAAATATTGCTAATAGGTAAAAGAGTTAGACACATAACTGTTATTGGGTCAGAGATTAAAATAATAACAATAATAATCTATTTATTGTATGTTAATGATACCTGAAATTCCTCCTTTAAGCTTTGTTCTACAGGTCTCTAAATTTCAGTTCCTCAGAGAGGGAAAGGAAGATAACATATTAAACCAATGATTATGAGGAAATCATGGCACTCTGTATAAGATAATGACATATGTGGCTTCATTTCTGCATCTCAAAAAAATACTTTAAGTATTTTTAGAATGTTAGTCTTTTCTTTTTCCTGTGAATTAGACAATTATCTTCATTTGCCTTTATGTCTATGGAACACTTCCATATTGACCAGAAATATTCTATTATAAACAAAAATTTTGGAAGTGATGAATTCAAAGTAATTCACACTAAAATGTCAGTCTTATTTGATCTTTCTTCTAGAAGAGGAGGGACCTGGGGGCCTTGGCGTAAGAAGGCAGCAAAGGCTTGCCAGAGTGAGAGGAGGGAAAGGCAAAAAAGGAATGGGGCAGGGAGCAGGAAGTGACCGAAGAGCAGTGATTTTTTAAAATTCGTTTCCATAATTTTGAATGCTCAAAAAAAAAGTCTCTACTAACCCCCTTTCTCTTCTATCACTCTCTATTTTCAGAATATTTCAAGCTATTTTTGTGTTAACAGTTATCTCCTGACAATAGTAGCTTCTATAGGAAACACATTGTACTAGAATTGTTAACTAAGATGATAAAGGAATTTCAAATCATTATCAAAATCAACTTCAATTGTTACATCTACAACCTAATAAAAATTACTAACCCCATATTGTATCATAACACCAGTGTACTTAAATCATTATTTTAAGAGGGGTGTTCCATATTTTACTGTAACATAAGTTATACATTAAAATTAAATATTCTGTTACCCATTCTACCTACCAGTTTTTGTTTTGATTTTTTTTAAACTTATGCATTGTAATTGTACATACTTATGGGGTACAGTCTGATGTTTTGATACATATATATGTTGTATATAATTGGATCAGAGTAGTTAGTGTATCAGTTACTCTCATACATTTATCATTTCTTCGTGACGAAAACATTCAAAAGCCTCTCCTCTAGCTATTATGCAGTATATAAAGTTTAATTGTTAACCATAGTGTTTTGATTCTCTTTGTGCACTTTTCTAGTTTTTATACTTGTATAGTACCTTATCTATTATTTGGGGGATTTCTTCTAAGTATTCATTTTGGGTAAAGTGAACTAAAGTTGTGTGTTCTGTAATGTTTACCAATTGGCTTCAAAAGACAATAAAATAATAAATCAACATTAACAGTAACATTAACAGTTAAAATATACATTTTTTTTTTTCTGTCTTTTTCCATGTCCGGCAACGGATCGCAACCCTCAGTGTTGCCCCCGTACCGGACCGGGGACCGGCAACGGGATCGCAACCCTCGGCGTTGCCCCCGCTCCTTGCTCAGCCAGTGAGCGGGAACCGGTCTGTATGTGGGATCTGAACCCTCGGGCGGGAGCGCTGCCGCGCTTCCCAAGCGGCGCACTATCCAGTGCGCCACCGGGCCGGCCTCTAAAATATACATTTTAATAGGTACAAATATTGGGACAGAATATTATTTTTTGTTAATTACTGGTAATTGAAATTAATTTTCAAATGATAATTTCTCTTTACTAGGATTAGATTTTTCCCAGCTCACTTGTTTTAATTTTGTAAACTCAGGACTACAGTTTGGCACATTGTAGTGTTCTTGAAGAAGCTGAAAATAGTCTTTTTCAAAGCTCTTGCCATTTAATGAGAAGAAAAAGCAGGCACCAAGGCTGCAGTGAATGCATGAGTAGTGACTATTTTATTTAGTAGGAAGCTTCTTTAACATATTCTAATTGATTTGGATCTTAATTTTTAAAACAATGCAGTAGTACCTTAATTGTGTCTTGATTATGCACCTAACCAGTTCAATGGATTCTTTTCAGACTGGGAAGAAGAGCAGGTCAGCAGTCCAAATATTCTACGACTTATTTATCAAGGACGATTTCTACATGGGAATGTCACATTAGGAGGTAATAGTCACCATGGTAATCGGATTTCATCTCTGCCTCATGGTAGCATTATCTGTTTTAAATGCTTATGTCTTTGAATCTTCATAAAAAAATGATAAATTCAAACTCTATGAATTCTGCCTATTTTTGGCATGCCTATTCCTTTATATTTTATATTCTGTTTAATTTTAGCATTGTGATAAGTGTTTACCACCTATGAAATAAACTCTATCCCAGTATAAGTAGGAATCTATACCTGCTATTTTATAAATGTAATTTCATTGTACTTTTGGATAATATAATTTAGACATAATATTTTTACATTAAAACTAGACAAACTAGCAAAAGTTTGTGATAATTGGTTTTCAAATATAATAATGAAGGGATATTTCATTTGACTCCAACTGATATAATTGCTCATCATGTGACAATAAAAGTAAATCACTGACATAAGAGCAGCAGTATATTGTAGTGATTGAAAGAACAGGTTTTGGAACTAGATTGTCCTAGTTGTATGCTAGCTGCACGACTTACTGGCCATGTAACCTTGGGCAAGTGACTTAACCAATCTATGTCCCAGTTTCCTCATCAGTAAAATGGTATAATAATGCCTACCTCCTAGGTTAAGAGGGGTAAATTAATTTACATATTTAAAGTACTTGAATATATAAAAGTTTGACACTTAATAAACACTTGAATTCTTAGCTATTACTGCTCTTTATATGTGACTGGAAAAATGTAGTTTAATAGTGCCCCCTTATGGGGTACATTTTCTGCCATCAACAGGGTTTGTTTTGTTTTTAGAATGTGTATTTCAAATATATTCAGGTAATTGGAAATTTGTAGGCAAATGAAATGATCTATTTAAATATATCTTTCTTTCAATGTAGTTTTAACTTTTTTCCTCTAAACCTAACAATGAAATATTTAACCTATTTTGCCTTAAAGGTGGAATATTTTTATTCATTCATTAAGCATATATTTATTCTTCTTATTTGTCAATACTGTGCTAAACACTTGGGTTGAATAAGAGAATCCGTCCCTTCAAGGTATGCTCTATTATTATGTAGACCAAATAGATAAAATCCACTGTAAAATTACTGTGTGATTAGGGCTAGAGTATATGAATACAGTGATTTTATGGTGCTATTAAGTTGGTAGAATGTTTTGTGATATTATCTCACACATAGCCAAGTTTCAGTGGCAGTGTTATAACTTGGTCTAAAAAGTGCTGCTGTCTACTAAGAGATATCTGCCATTTAAAAATAGAGCTGCTCTTCTGGTTTGTAGTTCTTTTCATAGTTTTTGTTTAGTTGGACCAACCCTTAATGTCAGAATTGAGACTGTTAGCTCCCTGGCTGTATTATACATTCATTAAGGACGGGACAATGTGTTAGTCTTTTCTTGATTTTCTGTGGCTCACACAGGTCTTGTGTGAATTAAAAATTGGTGAATGTTGGTTGAATTTAATCTATGGACTAGGAGTATATAAGTGAATCTTGAGATTCTTCATTTCCCTTTGAGTACTGATCTATGTGAACAACTTCCCACCATCTCCACTACTTAATTACCTTTCTGTTGTGGCCTCAAAGTTCTAATTTTATATTAAATATCACAGAATTTGTGTTAAAATCAAAATTATTTAGTTATTCTCATTAAAGTATAAATTTTTATCAGTTTTTTTTTTTTTTTGGAATTTGTTTTAGAATAATCAGCATATTGACTTAACATTATTATTGTCATTCTGTGTTGCTGTCAGTCTTTTGAAAACAAAGTAAATCATCTCTGGCCCTAGTGATTTAGATGGATAGCATAGGAGCATAGCCTGGACTTTTCAAGTTGATAACTATAGTGGGTGTTTGGTCAAGGTTGGATAATAACATTCAACTACTTGTCTTTTCGATCTGTTTTTCTTTTCAACCTCCTTATATTCTTGAATGTGAATTATAAAGGAGATAGCATGTAGGGTAATAGAAACTATCTTCAGTTATTTGAATGGCTGGTGTGGAAGAAGGCTTGGGCATTTTTTATATGGCCCTAGCTTTGCTCTGTGTAGCCCTATGAATTAGGACCAATAGCTAAAAGTCAGAGGCAAACAGTTTTCTATTCAATTATATGAAAGGATATTTGAACCCATTTGAGCTACCTAAAGAAAGAATGGCCCACCATGGGAAAAAGCGGGGGGGTCCTTGTTATAGGTGATGTTCAAGCAGTGGGTAACTATGAAGTAGTGGGGATACAGCAACGGGTGGAATCAGTCATCATGTGAATGGTTAGAGGAGGCATGGGCATTTTCTGCCGCTCTTGAGATTTTGTGGTTCAGTAATTTTCAGGTTTAAATTTTTGGTTATTAAGTCTCTAAAAACATGACCTTAAATCCTCTTTTTTGAGGAGTAATCTTTTAGTCACATAGAATTTCAATCCACTAATGAAAAGGTGTGTTGACAGCCTTTACTAATTGGAGGATGAAGAAGATGAGCAGCTAAATTAAAGCTTTGACGTTAAGTATGTTCCAGCTCAGTGTTTCCCAAATCTGGTTCTGCAACGGTGGGCATGAGAACCACATAGGATACTCATTTTAAAATGCAGATCTCTGCATGCCCTCTCTTTCCTACCCCCATCTCCCAGTTTTACTACTGAGTTGAAATTTCAGGTGATTTTTTTGTATGCTAAAGGTTGGAAACCTCTGTTCTGAATATTGTACCATGTCATAGTAGAAAGAAGCAGCATCCACAGTGAAGGAAAAAGAAAGCATTTTAAATTCCAGTATTCCTCTTCCTTCACCTTCTTTAATATTGTTAGCATCAATATCTACTATTTCTAGTTAAAATTCAAATGGAAAAGAAAAGTAATAGTCCCCACCAATTAAATTTGTGGCTTAAGTGGTTAGCCACTCAGGAGCTTTCCAATATTTCTTTAAATTTACGTCTCAGTTCACTTACCTGTTTCCTGAGATTCCCTTTTTTTTTTTTTTTTTTGGTATCTTAAAATAATGATGATCATGGTAATATTTACTGAATGTTTTCTTTGTGCCAAGCCGTGGGTGAAGCACTTTCCTTGGATTGTTTCATTTAATGGACACAACCGTAAGGGGCAGGTAATAGAATTCATCTCTCCAATATAGGTTGGAGAAATGGAGGCTTAAGAGAGAGGTTAAATAACTCACTACAGGTAAGTAGCAGAGACAAAATTTGTAACCCAGTTTGGGCTTATTCGAGTCAAGAGGATGAGTATGAGAGTGAGACACAGATTGGTACATGTACATTTTAAGTTAAGGTTTAACTTAACCCTTTAAGGTCAAGGTTTAAAATATTGATCAGGCTTTCTCAAAACATTTAGTGAATTTTTTCTTAATGTAAAGTCTAGCTTGCATTTTAATGTTAATTTAGGCCTAGGAAGTTATCCAAAAAAGGCTGTCTTTTTTCATCGTGTGTGTATTTATGGACCATAATGCTTCATTTGAACGTCAGAGGTAAAGAAAATAGATGGGATAATGGATGGCCAACTTTAAATAGACTCACCTTGGTTATATAAAATAGTACGAATATTGAAGATAATTAGGACTCTTTTTAAAGTTTACATGTTAACCATCATTCTATAGAGCAAGATTTAAAAAGCAGGTAGCAGGAGGATCATACTTGCCAAGTAATGATCTTAAGCCTTACTTGAGTTTGTAGTTAGTAAATGTAGTGTAGTTAGTGGTGGTGTGGTTTATCAATACATGGATGTGTATTATACTATTTTTCTTATGTCTGAAATATTTCATAATAAAATTTTTTATTTATGAGTGAGAAAAAGTCTTAAAGACTTCATTAGAAGACAATGATGATTAGTAATGCTGAGAACAGTAATTCTTTTAATCTAACCTTTTTAAGAAAATTATTTCCTAATTGAAGAATACAAGGTTGAGAATAAATACTTAAAATTGTTGTTTCTTCTACATTGTAGAAGCCTGTTCAGTGAAAATAATTTTAATTATTTAAATGTAATTAGACATGTAATTAGACTTAGACATATAATTAGATTTAGAAACAAATGTCTCTTGATTTAAACTTTTCCCTAATCTAGAAAAGGTATTCCTTTTTAAAAAAATATTTTTTTTTCTAATTCTATTTTTTCTCCTCTATAGGTGATCTCTGACATTAACCAATTATGTACTTTCTCTTATCCCCTTCCTTAAATAATATAGGTATATATGTCAAACTAATGGCCAAAGCTGGGAAGAATAATTTTTAAATTGTAAAAGTTATTTCTGATAATATTAACCTAATTTCGTTTTGTAATGAGATACTCTGGTACGAAACTCAGTCTGTTGAAGAAGTCATACAAAAACCAATTAATTTTTAAAATATATTCAGTTCTGTGGTGATTTTAATAGGTTGATGTATATATAACCAATTGTCTTCTACTTTTCACATAGCATTAAAACTTCCTTTTGGCAAAACAACAGTGATGCATTTGGTGGCCAGAGAGACATTGCCAGAGCCAAACTCTCAAGGTAAGCCATGCACTGGAGAAGTGTCTCACTTGAGCCCCAAAGACAGGCATTCAAAAATGGCTGGTTTTTTCTTGGATATTCTGAGGGAAAGGAAGTTTTCTTAGTTTATGAATAGAGCTTGTTAAGCAAATAACCAGATGTTTTGAAACATGCTAAAATTAAGTGCTTTATTACAAATTTTCAATTTTTTAAAAATGCGAACATTAAAAAAACCAAAACTATTTCTTACTATATTTGGGTGGCTAACCCCTTCTCCCCCTCCAATTCTAACATTTTTATAAACAAGGCTTTTTTTCATTTTTCCTAGGTCAGAGGAATCGTGAAAAGACTGGAGAAAGTAATTGTTGTGTAATCTTGTAAACGCTGTCTGCTAAGTGTGGTGTGATATGTAGTCTTTGTCTTTCATGCTGCTGGGACAGAAAAGACCCAACATTGCTTCAGAAACCTTTAAGAACAGTCTGCCTGTAAATTCATGGAACTGAACTATCACATGAACACTGTCATCTTTCTTCAGAAAGTAGAAAGAACCAAGAACATTTTTCATTATGATTTTTTTATTTCTTGTATTTTTGTTTACGTTGAGCAGTTTTAAAGTATATTAGTTTTTGAATGCAGTCAATCTCCAGGGGAAAAGTTAACAAGTTATCTTTCATAGCAAAACCATTTTGCTGCCACAAAAATTCTCATCACCAGAACTAATTCAGTGTTCCAAATATAATTTGCACTAAAAAAGATTGACATTTTTCTCATCAGCAGAGTTTATGACAGTTTATGGTACCTAGAAATACTCATATATACAATTCCACACTGGAGGACACTCAGCAGTTAATGAAGTTAATTTCTGGGACAACTTGAGAGGAAAAAATGGAAAAGAAACTAAAATGTTGGGTGAATTCTACCAAAGTCAGCCGTGCTGGCTTCACTGGCACAGAATAGTAAACTAAGTGTGACTATTTTCACTGCAACAAATGAAAAAAAACAAAAAAACAAAATGTGCCTGTTGTTTAAAGCACTCAGCAGAGGGCCGATAAAACTAATTTTTTTTCCATGTGCACTCTTGAGTCCTACAGTAACTTGAGTGCTTGTTCAGACAGCACAAGAAGGGGTGAGAGTGCATCTCCTAGCCTTAATGTGGGAGGGGAGTTCCAGTCATTCATAGGCTTTCGTTATTGTGCAGAAATATTAGAAAACCTCACTGACTGGTCAATTTTATGTATTTGAATATCAGCAAATTGAAATTTTCCATAATTATTGCTCATCTATAACCACGTCCAGTGTCATGCTTACTTCTTAGAGGGTTCAGATGAATTCTTAAAATTAAAAAAAAAAAAATCTCCATAGTACTAATTTTGTTTCTTTACATAGTTTGCATTTGGTATTAGTGCTTGCAATTGTATTAAAATCAAAAGCTAATTTTTAAGGCATACGTGATTAAGATTGCCATTCTTTCTTTTATTTTGTACCAATAATTTAAAGATTGATATGCTAAAAACAATTTGCACAGCACTAAAGCATGAGCTAGTTTCATCTAAACCTGTAAAAATTTGAAAGATTTTATATTTTTTCACTGGGAAGAAATCCTTCCTGGATGAAATTACAAATATGTGTAGAATATATTTAATAAAAGACTTATAAAATACCTAACTATAGAACTTAAATATAGATTGGCGTGTAGTATATAGAACAATATTCCATATAAATAACTTTAGCCTTTATAAAAAATGAAGTTGCAGGCTGACATTATGTTCTGTACTTACTAAGTGTCCATGGCCCTTATGAATATTAAATGTACATGGTTTCAAATGGTCAGCTTTGTTTAAATGTAATCAGGTTATTTTATTCATTGTTAATGCTTTGATGAAAAGGCTTTATATGCAGTAGATCTACGAAAATATTGTTCATACTGATCAAAATTAAATTTGTATAGAGCAGAGTTTTAAAACGAATGTAAATAGCACTAAACATTTTCTTTCTGCAACCTGTACTTAGAGATTCTTTCTGTAAACCAAATAAAATAATATCGTAGTGCATTTTGGTGGTAATTTTAAAGGTCTTGATTAGGTCGATAATTGTATAAGCACTGTCTCATCCATGTTAAAACTGTTTTCTACTTTTAATTTCTGAATCTTTTAAAATTCATTTATTAATCTATTGTTGGTTTGGGGAGTATTCCCAACATATCTTTGATATTTAACCTGGTTAATTTGTGAATAGTCACAACAATGGATAGAATTATGTAGTTTCTGTTATCACTAAAAGGTTATATTCAAGAGATGTTAAATATTCATATGCTTTGTTGACTAGCTCAAATGTGAATTCTGCTAGTATTGACGAAAAAAATCTGGTAGTCACTTAATTGGGTAATTAAGCCATTTATGGCTGTATTCTTTTGTAAAACAAACTATTGGTTATTATTTTTAATACCTATTTTAATTCTAATTACTTTTTTGTTTTTCCAAAGTCCAAGAGTTATGATTGAGTTTTTATGATGGTTAAAAATATTCTCTCTTGGTCTTCAATGTATTTTTCTCTGTGTTCCCACATTATATATTTCCCTTTCACAAGACCTTGATTTAGAGTTTGCTAAGTGGGATAAACTGGTTCATTAGTAATGAAAGAATTATGATGCTTAATACCTATTATCATAGTTGTACAAAATGAAAAAAAAGAATAAAAGGTAGCAGTAAAATTATATACTGAAGACACCAAAAATTTAGATGCCTTAATAGCGTATATGTGAAAATACCCAATTATCCCTTTAAAAATAATTGTGTGGACTGCCTGATAGTTAAAATATGATTGATCATACCCAAGGCTACTATTAAAGATTCCTCTGCCAAAAACGGCAGCATCCATACCTAAAGTTGAGAGCTGCATAGATCTAGTAAAGTAAATAAAGCCTGAATAATGGGCCTGTGCCCCTGCCCAGCACCTGATATCTAACTCATCTTTTACCTAAATTGTCCTAGACTTTGTTAAATATTCTGGACAAGACAAAGCTTTTCTTCTTTATTAAAATCTCAGCATGTTTCCCTGATCTGAACTATTTGCTTTCTCTTCAAGATAAGTATCTTATCGTGAAAAATATAGTATCTAACATCATCATTCACATTAAATGAGGTTTTCTCATAACAAACATTTATCCTTAGTTTTATGAAGTCTTCTTGACCAATGTTACGGTAATTTCTGTTAGCTGATTGTGGTAAACAATGTTTAATGTGAAAAGAAATTAAACCTTTCTTCATCTGTTATAGAATATTTCTCTTCTTTTAAATGACTTCCATTTATAATTTTGTTGTATTTTCCTATTCTTTATCTCTCTGCTTTTCTCTTTTTGCCTTTCTTCAGTTTATTTTATTACATTCTTCAGTAAAATTTAACATTATGCCAGCCTATATTCTGCTTTATTTTACCAAAATCAAAGAAAAGTGGTCAACCAAAATGTATTGTACCTTCATACCATCCTTATTAGTAACTGTTGGAGGATTCCAATTTTTGTCCATGATTGTTTTGTAATATAGGCACTTGTTAGCCAGGCAGAGTGACTGGGGTGGAAGGAGGGCTTGAGAGGAGATGTATAACCTGTACATTGGTTGACAAGACTGCAGCTGCTGACAGGTTTCTAGGCACAATGTCTGAGGCCACGGTGGGGTGGGGTTCTTGGACCTGGGCAGTAGATGACTGGCTTTGACTCCTGGCTTCTCCCTACCCCTGCTTTCTTCAGAAGGCTGTACCACATGAAGCTCCTTTACACACAGGCTGGGGTGGAGGGTGGGGAGGGTTGACTTCTGAAGGAGTTCATGGACAAAATTAAGTGAGAAGCATCTAATTCTTAGACTACAGAGTTTAAACCAGTACTAGAATGTGAAGACCAATGTCATTTATTAATTATGTCAAATGTCCTTTAATATTATTTTTTATATTCTGCCTCTTTTTCAAAAGTGACAGCTTTTCAAAAAATATGGAGTAGACATAGTAAATTAACGTTTGGGAAAAGAGAATGTCATTCTCTTTCACATGATTCAACCAATAAAAAAGGAGTTGGGTAAAATGCATATTTATTAAAATGGCTGTGGAAGTGATATGTCTTTAAAAGTCCTAGACAGAGTCTAACTGGTTTAGAATGTGGTTGTTACACATTCAAACATTGTTCCATATCTGACTTTTCTACAAATATTTCTTGAGGCTTATTTTGGTGTAAGGATGAAATGTAGGAGAAACTGTGCTGTAGTAAGTAAAGTAATACAGGAGGGAGCAGAGCTAGAGGGGAATTGGGACCTCAGGGTTCCCTTGTGCTGCTTTTAGACTGTCCGGAGAAATACAGTTTAGGGATTTGTTCAGTTCTCAGTTGTCTGCCAGATAAGATTGGTCTTACCGCATTCTGGAGCCTGGTTCCCCTCATGTACCTACCTTATCATGGTTTTCCCTGGGGGCATCATTTAACTGAGTTCCAATAGTTACTGTGCCACTCTCCCCCAGTGTTTCTCAGAAGCATTTTTTTATCTGATAACTTTAGCTCATTTGCATTTCGACTTATGAGTTAGGGTTAGGGTTAGCACTCAGAAGACCACAAGAATTGCTGGGCTTTGTTGTAAGGCCTGGCTTTGAGCTAGGTGACTTTGAACAAGTCACTTGATATTTGAGCTTCAGTTTTCATATATGAAATAAAAATACCTATTTTGTAGGGTTGTAAGGATTATTTTAAAATAAATATTTAGAAGACTATTACGCCTAAGATCTTATGACAAACTGGCAACCTGTCAAAAGGCTTCACAAGGAAATAAAATGCTAACCATCAAGTATGCTAAACCTCGTGATAAAGTAGCTTATCAAAAGGCCAGAGAGAATGCATGGATGATTCTGTGCTCAAAGACATTTAAAAGGGAGACAAGAAGTGGGGCATCTCAAAAATAAGTCTTGGATTAGAAAAAATATAGAGGACCCAGTAATCAATGAGATCTGGCTTCAGATGTCTATATACCGGGATATAGAGCTTGGACAATGAACAGAACTGGATACATAAACAGAACGTAAGGACATAAACATGACTGTTGAAACTGGAGGTGGCATTTGTTACTAGGATATTAAAATACATATGTGCATTGTTCAAAAGAAATAGGTCTAATAACGGTGGAAAACATCACTGTGTCAAGAAAACACATAGGGAATTCACAGACCTGCGAAGGGAAGTGGTTGAGGAGAATCTGCACAATGATGAAAAGAGTCAGAAATAGGATCGTGGTGTCTGCACCTTTCTCCACCAGACTGAGGCTATCGATTTCTGTTGTGAGTCTGCAGCGGGAAAACATCGAGGCAAGATGTTGTAGTGATGCAGCAGTTGATTATGCAGGACCTTGCTGGGTGCCTTATTTGCCCACAGTCTGACTAACCTGACTTGTGCTAATGCCGTCCCGTTAGGCTAACAGAAGTAACAAAAGAAAACTGCTGCTCTGAAGATTTCAGTTTGACCCAGAGGGAAAGAATGATTCTAGTGGAAATGTTAGGAGCCTGCCGAGGAAATAGTTGTGCCTTTTAGATGTTTGTAATAACACTAATTAAGGCAGATGGTGCGAGGTTGCTTCTCCAGCACTGCTGCTTCCTTGCCGGCTGACTTTTTTGGAGGGGAGGGGACTGTTTGCCCTTCCCCCACATGGCTCAGGGAAGAGTGACCTTATCCCAGCTCCAGGAGTACAACCCATAACCTTGGGCGTGATTGGTGTAGGAGTGTTCATGGACCCCAACCTGGCAAGTGAGACATGAGAGGAACTCTGCTGAGGGGGTTTCTAGAGAAAGTTCACGGACCTTGCAAGAGACTCTTTGCCTCTGGACATTGTTTCGTCTAGATGTGATGATTGAAACTGCTACAGCCACCTTGTGATCCAGAGGGGAGCTAGCTCGAGGGCAAAGCCTGCAAATTGAAATTTCAGAGTAGAAAAGTAGCAGAAATCTCATCTGAGGAGCTGTTCATTTTGCCCAGCAGGACACCCCAATGCTCTAGACTTCTCAATAGGTCATCCAATCTATTGGAGTTTTTTTCTTCTTCCAGTCAAAAACATAATAACTGTAGAAGGGATTGCTATCAACATATACTCCAGGAAAAAAAAAATCTATATATTTACTCCAAACTTTATGACATTAGCTTAAAAAGTGATCAGAGGAAATATGAAGATGATTCTGTTCAGATGCTCAAAAATAAATCTCTGGCTATTTAGTCACATTATCTTGATGATGAAGAAAACAGACATCTAAAGAAGACCGTTGTAGCTACAAGTCAGCTCTTCAATCTCATTATTTTAAAAGACACAAGCAGAAAGTGAGAGTTTAGATATATAGATCAAGGAAGAATATAGTAAGTGTCAAACACCTCTTGAGAATAATGTTGGAAAGGCCCAGGATGAGCTGGAGTTGATAGAAAACAATAGAAAGTATATTTTTGCTATGTTCAAAGCAAAAGGAACAAGGCAGGGATACACCACTGCTTCTAGACCCTGGCTGCACATGGGAGTTACCCAGGGAGTTTTAAGTTTTTAATTTTTAATATTGATGGCTGGTCCTCACATCAGCTGAATTAAATTTGAACACATGTGGCTTGGAGCAGATGCCTCATTTTTTGCAGATGACTGAAAGCAGAACCATTTAAATATCAAGAATACAGGAGAATGAAGTGGGAAGATGGGAATAAGAAAAGTTAAAATGAAATTGGAGGATTCCAAGATGGCGACGGGTCTGGAGCGGCCGTGCCAGGAGACAGCGCGATCCTGAGAAGTGTGCGCTGTGATACCAGAATACTAATTGCATTTCCAAGAGCAACAAAAAACGAATAATTCTTTCAACAACGATCCTACAACAACAACCAAGCAACAACAGGTTCGAGGTTTTAGGGCCGACACAAAAGAAGACTCCTGAGAGCACCCAAGCCCTGCTGCGGGAACAAGCGAGCAGCCCAGACAACAAAGGCCAGGAAAGCCAGCAGAAACGGCACAGAAACAGAGTGAAACACGCCGGACCGGCCCAACTTTGAAAGCTCTATGAGTCACCCCCAGCCCAGCCCCACTGGCGGGGCGAAGCCCAACTGCTCCCCGCCCGCCTGGCTCCCACCTACCACACCAGGCTAGGCGCCCACAACAGAGCTGCCTCCATTTTCTCGGGGGGGGGCGGAGACGGCCGGCTTAGTGAGGGCAGGCCAGCCATCTCTGCTTGGCGCAGCTCCGCACTGAGACGTGCCATTTGCTTACCTCGACGCGGGGCACCCCAGGGCCTGTGGTCCAGCCTACAATCCCAATCTCCCCGCGGATCTCAGATGGGGCTGGTAGTGTGGGGAGCCCCCGGCCAGCGTCGGGAGGGCAGGGAAGAGGGGCCCGCCCAGTTCGTCTCTCCGCCCCCCCCCGAGAAAATGGAGGCAGCTCTGTCGTGGGCGCCTAGCCTGGTGTGGTAGGCAGGAGCCAGGCGGGCGGGCGGGGAGCAGCCGGGCTTCGCCCCGCAAATGGGACTCGGCTGGGG